TTAAGGTCACAGGTGGGCATAGCCCAATCCTTGAAAATAAAACAGAAAGAACCTCATTTATCTTTACAGTAAGGTGGCTTTTAAGCCTATGGTGGAAGCAGGCTTGTTCTTCAATAGTTTCCATTTGATAAATATAGAAATTAATGTTTCTTTAACCCATGAGCAGGACCCTTTAGCTAGTCTCAGACATTCGTCATCAGATAGGAAGGTGTAGACACATAATCTGCATCTGAGAATTCCACTTCTGACAAAGAAACAAGGTCTCTCCTATTAGAATAAGAATTCAAAGAGCTCTAGGAATTCCAGACCGCATAATTACCCGGTTATATAGTTTTCTCTACTAGGAAGATAGACTGGGATGGACTGTAATTAAGAGGTAGAGTGCCTGCCTAGTCTATTAGATCCTGGGTCGATCCCCACAAAAGAAAATAACGGGGAGAGCCTGTAAGGTTCCAAGATGGTCTGCAACGTGACAGCTGCTCAGCTGGGAAACCGCCCTCGCACAGTCGCTGGCGTCAGAGCCACTGTGGTGACTGACAGCTCACTGGGAGTCAGGCCTCCCCTGCTGGGTCTTGATGACCCCCAGGTCCACACTGCACAGAAACAGAAACGAAGAGAGCAGTAGAGGAAAAGCAGGTGACCAGAAGCGGCAAGTCTGAAGCGAAAAGGCCAGGGAGGTCTTGCCTAAGGGGACAGGTGTCACAGTAATGCTGGCAGACACTGCAGGCCCCTCCTAGCAACCAATTCTGGTGGTCAGGCCATGGGCATCAGCTGTTGCTGGGCAGACTAGAAGCTTCTTCTGTCCCCTCCCAGCAAGCACCCGATGTTAAAGCTATCTTGGAGATGCAGAGATGGGGAGGACAGGGAAAAGATACTGAAGGAAAAAGTTCTTTGCTGGTTTTCCGATCCAGAACGGGAAGCGTCTTCAGGCAGTCTTTTCCCACGGTGGCTGCAACTCCAATAAAGACCAATAAAGAAATTCCTTTTTTGTTTGTTTTTGTTGTTGTTGTTTTCGTTTGTTTTGTTAGAGACAGGTTTTTTGTTTTTGTTTTTGTTTTTTTTTTTTCCCTGTGTATCCCTGGCTGTCCTGGAACTCGCTTTGAAGATCAGGCTGAAGAAATTATTTACACTGTGAGGAATAAATAATAAAACGTGCCTTCGAATTCTCATACTCAGCGGTCCTGGATATTCCAGATGTATCCCGCCCCCACCTACCCAACAGCCAATTGCTTCTTTCACAGGACAACCTTTAGTATTGCTTAAAACCCTCACTTCCCCCTCCAGCCACAGTCCCCATTTAGAATGGAAAGCAAGCAAGCTCTTATCCCCCTGACTAAACTATACGATTTTCTCTATAAAACATAAAAATGTGGTAACTTCTCATAATAGTAATTATTATTACAATAGCAGACCACACATACATTTCTTTTTGGTTTTCATTTGTTTTGTTTTATTTGGGGTTTCCGTGTTTTTTAGGCTCAGGCTGTCCTTGATTTCACTGTACTTTGTAGCCAAGTATCAGTTTGTTGCCACCACCATGTGCTGACATTATAACATGCACTACCTTGCCTGCCTTGCTGAGAACACTTGAAATGTAACGTTTTAATCATTACTAGATGTGATGGTTTGAATAAGAATGGTTCTCAGAGGCTCATAGATTTGAATGCTCAGTCACTAGGAAATGGCATTAATTGATAAGGATTAGGGGGTGTGGTCTTGTTGGAGGAAGTATGTCACTAGGGGTGGGCTTTGGGGTTTCAAATGTTCAAGCCAGGCCCAGCTTTCCATGGATACAGATGTAGAACTCAGCTACCATGTCTTTCTGTGTACTGCCATGCTACCTGCCATGCTGATAATGGATGAACCTCTGAACCTGTTAAGCCAGCCCCAATTAAATGCTTTCTTTTATAAGGGCCACCTAGGTCATGTTGTCTCCTCACAACAATAGACCACTAAGACAGTAGAGCATAACTGATTTTTTTTTCTGATTTTCTACACTGAACTTAAAAAACACAAGATAATGAAAGCACAGCCACCCACACACTCACCCCACTTTCAGGACAGCAAGTATCACACTACTATTCTTTTCTTCCATCCTTTAAACCCACTGAATAATTTCCTTTTGTTTTAAAAGAAGTTTGGAACAAACCGACAAATGAAAATAGATTTATTTACAGTTTAGCCAAAGTGCATCTATGACTATCTTAAAATGTATTAAAAGCTGTGCAACAAAGGCTAAGAATAGCCAATTAACTGTGAGATAGGGTAATTTGTCCTTTCCTAGAAGGAAGGGGACCTGGTTGTCTCTTAGACAGTTTTCCAATTTGAGTCCTGGCTGTGGGAAAGAAGTTCTTAAAAGCCCCTCAATTTGAAAAGCAAAAAGTCAGGTTTTGTCAGATAATAGCAGAGTTGTTTTATATATAATTCCATTCCATTTGATAGTTAGAGAGCTTGTGTCTTTTATTTGGAGGTTAGCTTCAATTCCAGACTCTCCATTGGTATTAAGTGTGAAGTGGGAAAAGGTGACACTCAGACCTGTCAAGCATGGTAGTATATTTCTGCAATCCCAGCATCTAGGGGGCAGAGCCTATAGGCTCAGGGAACCAAGGTTATCCTCAGCTACAGAGTGAGTTCCAGGCCAGCTTGGACACAGCAAAAAAGTGACAGTCTGGTAACTAAAGGGAAGGGCATAATTGGAGAGTCACCACTTCCTACCATATGCAGCATCTAAGTGTCTGTTTCTCAAGTACTTGATAGGAAATTGCATCAAACTGGTTCACATTGGTGTATAATTTCTCCAGCAGACTTATGAAGCTTCTGGCTAAATGGATAGCATGAACCTCTGGCAGTCTATCAGTCATTAAGTCTCAATGTACTCTTCAGATTCAAGCACACCAATATAACACAAGCAAAGTAGGCTTCATAGGCATGTTGTCAGGGCAGTTGTTCAGGGTCCCATTGTTAGACAGCTGTTAACAGATTGAAGACATTAGAACTGGACTCCTCCTTCATAATAAACATCTTTATAAGCCTATGACTAGGAACTTCAGGACTCTAATTACTGGTCAGAAGAATGGTACCTGAGTAATTTCAGTCCCTGAAAGGAGACTGGACATCATAATTGGCTCAGGGGGTCATTAATGCATTTCTCTCTTACCCTGCTTCTAGGATCCCTAAACCCTACAAGACTATTGTATTTTATTAAGCCCAGTATATACTATGCTGTTAAATGGTTATTAGTTTAAATTAACCAAATACATTTTTGTTTTAGTCTAGCAAATTATTTTTAATGGAAACAACCTAAACATTGTGGAACAAAAATAGCAACAAACACTGTCTATGATATAAGAAAGAGGCATGCACACACAAATGATAACAATAATAATAATAACAACAACAACCCAACATAATTCTAGGTTTGAAAAAGCAAATAGGCACAGGCCTATAACCCTATCACTCTGAAGACTAAGGCAGGAGGATCATGGGTTACAAGCCAGGTAAGATCCTGTTTCAAAACCATAAAACAAGAAGGTCATGTCTTCATTACAGATACCATTTTCAGCTGTGAACAATACCAAGGCTGGGCATGTGTCTGCATGATGGACCTGTTCCTGCAGCCCATGTTGCCTGACAGTTGCTGAGTCTCTTTCTCATCAGTCAGAAGACTCTCTGGGCAAAAATGACTATCAGCTCTTAATGTTCACCTTGTGACTTTCTCAAATATAATCTTTGAGATCTGGGCACAATGATTCATACCTACAATCTCAGCACTAAACAATTAGAGACAGGAAGATCCCTGCAAATTTGAGGCTAGCCTTGGCTACATAGTGAGTTCCAGGTAAGCCTGTGCTATAGAGTAAGACCCTATCTCAAAATGAAACAAAACAAAAGAGCAATTTTCAACAATAAAAAAAATCACATACATCCTTTGCTGATAAGAAGCTGGCCAAACTCAAGTAAACTTTTCATGTCCAAGCATAAAGATGGGAATTTGGATCTGCTACAGGAGACAGCATGTCTGATATAGAGGACAGACTGGTGCCAGGCGTATGACTCAGTGGAGAAAGCACTCGCCATGCAAGAACAAGGACCGAATGGAGTTCAGATCCCCAGTGCCAACATTTAAAACACTGGACAGATATGAGGCCCTACCTATAATCCCAGCTCAGCAGGTGGGTGTAGTGGGAGACATAGCTCAGTAAATAAAATGAAGAGTGGTTGAGGAAAATATCAGATGTCAACCTCTAGCCTCCACATTTAGGCATATACATTTGAACAAACAATAACAGATACATTTATATCACACTTATAAATAGCTGCAAAAAAAAAAAAAAAAAAAAAAAAAACGAGGCTGGGCATGGTGGTGCACTCCTTTAATCCCAGTACTTAAGACACAAAAGCAGGTAGATCTCTGTGGATTGGAAGCCAGCCTCCAGTTCCAGGGCAGCCAACCATAGGGAGATCTTGTCTCAGAGTGGGGGTTGTAGAGGAGGAAGAGAAGACTAGGCAAGGTGTTATCATCTTAGTAGTCAGGATATAAATACAGGAGGATGGGTAGTTAATGGTCATCCTGTGCTATATTAGTTTGTGACCAGGCTGGTATACATGATACTGCCACACACACAAAGACAATAGATACAGCAACTCAAGACTGAATGGTTTTTGGGTTTTTTGGGGGGTTTTTGTTGTTGTTGTTTTGTTTTGTTTTTTTAAGTCTTCGGTAATCACTCTCCTCCCCCCCCCCCCAGGTAGCTTTTGGCAAGAGGAATTAAACAAACCTTACAGACTCCACAAACAAATCCCTCTGATTACCACTGAGCAGCCACTACATGCCCTTCCCAAGACTAGATCTGGGGAGGGGAAAAGGGAAATGACCCAGTACCAGTCAGCCACTGCTCCAATGCTGTGAGGGGGGTAGAGAGGCAAACCCTGGTCATCAATGGATCTGTAGTCCTTTTGTGCAAATGTCTGGCAGGGGTGACGTGGGGCCATTCCTCTGGGCACAGCTGTGGTAATACCCGGATGGAGGTAGGGCCTGGGCAGTAGTGCCCTCCCAGATTCTCCCTTCAGGCTTCTTGGAGTGAGAGACATGCATCCTGAGGGTCTCAGCTTGGCCTGACCCTGCAGCCAGGGACACGGTCCCCAGTAACCATGAAGATGGTCAGTTTGTGGAGCTTTACTCTATCCAGCTGCCTCCTCTCCCTGCTCATTCTCCTCCAGCTGTCACCCAGCTATGCAGGTAAGCATGCTAATTCCAGCCCTACTTAGACCTAAGAACAGATCTACACTTAGGTCTGCTGGCATGGGTTCTCTCCTTAGACACCTTCCTGATTTCTTGTGGAATCAAATTCAAACTTTCCCCCATTCGTATAGTGCTTGGAATCAAACTCAGGGCCTTGTGCAAGCTAAGTTCATACTTTACTACTGAACTCTATCCCCAGTCCTAGTTTTGGTTTTTCACCTTTCAAAAGAACAAAACAAAATAAAACAAAAAACCCAAATTCTTGGAGTTACTGTCAGAGGTTTTTTTTTTTTTTGCTTGTTTGTTTTTGGATTTTTGAGATAGGATTTCTCTGTAGCTTTGGAGCCTATCCTGGAACTCTGTAGACAAAGCTGGCTTCAAACTCACAGAGACCCAGTCTCTGCCTCCTGATTGCTGAGATTAAAGGCTCGAGCCTCCATGCCCCACCTGCTGTCAGAATTTTAAATGAGAGAAAATGTTTTGTATATTACTGCAGTGCCTGTTTGTGGTAAATCTCAATAAATGTTTGTTGAGGATTAGTAAAATGGCTTGGTAGGTAAAGGTCCTTGCCTCTAAGCCCAATGAACTATCTGAATGATAAAATAAAATAACACAAATAAAATAAAAAAAATTTTAAATAATTGAGTCATAGCATCTCATTGCATTTGAGACCTTGCTCTGCAGAATCAGGCAGCAGTAAGTTTTTATACAGAAACCTGTGCCCCAATTAGGAGGAGAAATAAAAAAGCAAAAGACAGAGTCCTACCTCAGGGAGCCATGTGATTGATGGAAGCCTAGCCCTTGCACCCCCCTAAGGACACCCTGGTATTAGGAAGCTGAGCTTTGCTGGGAAGAGGCTTAGAGAAGGGTCCAGAGCTAGAGTGAGGCTGAAGGTACAGATGATAAAGAAGAGCGAAGCAACTGTTTTCCAGAGTGCATAACTTCACAGTGACAAGGTGTGAGGACAGAAGCACTTAGAAGGAGTGGGCCACATCCCAAGGTAGAGGCAAGAATCAGAGCTGGAGTCAGAGAGGAGCACACCTTCTAGAAAAGTGGAAGCCATTGTCTAGATGGTTTCACGTCATAACACTCTATCCTAGACATTCAGCACATATCTTTAACTAGAGATTGCTTACTTTGTATACATTCAAAGTTTTAAAAGAGTGGCCTGCTGAGGCCCTTGAATTCTATTTAAACTCCTCAACCCAGCATGATGGAAAGCCCCTTAATCACAACATTTGTGAAATGAGCACAAGGACCAAAAATTCAAGTCACCCTCAGCTACATGAAAGACTAAAGCCTTCTTGAACTACAAGTACCATGTCTCAAAAATGGAGAGGAGGCACTGAGGAGATGGCTCGGAAGTTAAGCATGCTTGCTGCTCCTGCAGAGGATCCAAGGTTAGATTCTCAGCACCAATATCCATGAGGAAGCTCATGGCTATCTGTAACCCCAGCTCCAGAGGACCTTACAACCTCTTCTAGCTTCCAAGGGTAGTCACACAAAGGTGACATACATTCACCCACGCTGGCACAGACACAAAATCTTTAAAAGAAAAAGCTGATTTTCTAAGCCAAGCATGGTGACAAATATTGGTAATTCCAGCACTTGAAAAGTTGAGACAGAAGTCGGGTGGTGATAGCACACACCTTTAATTCCAGCATTCTCGAATTCTCGAGGCAGAGGCAGGAGAATCCCTGTGAGTTCGAGGCCAGGCTGGTCTATAAAGCTACATAGAGATACCCTGTCTCAAAAAATAAATAAATGAAAGAAAGAAACAAACAAACAAAAAAGAAAAGTTGAGACAGGAGTATTGCTGTGAGTTCAAGGCCAGCCTGAGCAAGCACTGTATCAGAATTAATAAATAGGGGCTGGGAAGTTGGCTCTGTAGTAAAGAGTATGTACTTCTCTTTCAAAAGACTGGATTTTGGTTCACAATACCCTGAAACTACAGATCCAGAGGTACCAAATGCCTCTGACCTCTGAGGGCACCTGCATTCATAAGCATTAATATGAGTGCTGATGTAGACAAACACACACACACACACACACACACACACAAAATAAATAAAACAAATCACTTGATCCCAGCACTTGGGAGGCATAGAAAGGCAGATATCTGAGTTCCAGGTCTGCCACAGCTACATAGTGAGACCCTGTCTCTAAAATAAGTAAAATAAAAATTAAAAATTGAGTTTCTGTCTCTTATCTATTTTGAAGTAGCTTTCCTTTGATTAACTTGTTACATCTGACTCGTGGTTTCTTCTCTTTGGTGTCTTGACAGGACAGTTCAGGGTTATAGGACCAGGGCATCCCATCCGGGCTTTAGTCGGGGATGAAGCAGAACTGCCATGCCGGATATCTCCTGGGAAGAATGCCTCCGGCATGGAGGTGGGGTGGTACCGTCCTCCTTTTTCTAGAGTGGTTCATCTCTACCGAAATGGCAAAGACCAAGATGCAGAACAGGCGCCTGAATATCGGGGACGCACAGAACTTCTGAAAGACAGCATCAGTGAGGGAAAGGTCACCCTCAGGATCCAGAATGTGAGGTTCTCGGACGAAGGAGGCTTCACCTGCTTTTTCAGAGACCACTCTTATCAAGAGGAGGCAGCAATTGAGTTGAAAGTGGAAGGTGAGTCTGCCAAGGTAAAATGTAGTCCTGGCTGGCCTCAAACTCACAGTGGTTCTCCGGTCTCTTGGCTCTTAAGTGCTAAGAGCTGGGATTAAAAGCATGTGCCGCCACAATTAGTGTATATATATCCTTGGGCAATCCTCCAGCTACAGCCTCTGGTGTGCTGGGACTAAAAGCATGAGTCACCATACTCAGCTTAAAATGATTGTTTTAGAATCATATCGGATAGCTTGGGTGCTTCTCGCGAGAACTTGATGGGTGACACAAGCAAGTCTTAGAATGTAGGGAACAAAAATATGTCCCTGTGTTTGTGTGTATTTACATACATGTATACACACACACATATACTCTCTGTATGTGTGTGTGCATTATATGGCAGAGATATAATTTACATATATATGCATATATGTGTATATATTATATGGCAGGGATATAATCCCCCCCTGTGTGGTGTGTTTGTGTGTGTGTGTGTGTGTGTGTGTGTGTATGTGTGTGGTGTGTGTGTGTGTGTGCATATATGTATGGAAATATATAGCAGGGATAATTCAGTTAGTAGAGTGCTTGCCTAGAATTCAAGTAGACACTGGCTCAGTCCTCATCACTGCATAAACTGATCTTAGAGCCTAAAGCCTGTGATCCCAGCACTTTTAAAGTTTAAAGTCAGGAGGATAAGAAGTTAGACACCAGCCTAGGTTATAAGAGACTGTCTCCAACAAAACAAAACAAAAAAGAGATTGGAAAGATAGCTCAGTAGTTTTGCAGTTCTTCCAGAGGACCAGAGTTTGGTTCCCAGTACCCACATAACTCCAACTCTGGGAGTCTGGATACCTTCCTCTGGCCTTCAAAGGTACCCACACATACCTACACACACACACACACACACACACACACACAATCAAACACACACATGGGGGTGGGGGAGGCCTGCAGTTTTGTCACCATTGCTTCATACTCATGATTTTTCATTTTTAGTGTGTTTTGTGTGATAGCTGATTTTAGAGTCATTTATTATTTGTCCTGCCTTGGTGTGGTTAAAGTGTGGTTAGGAAAATAGAGGGAGTTTTGGAATTTAACTGCTATGTAGTTGAAGAACAAAAGTGTTGTGAGTGCTGGGCCTCTGATCCTTTCCCTTCCTCCTCACCCACCTGCAGCACGAACATCAGACAATCCATCATTTCTGCATCTGAAGTGGGGGTGACTGTTGCCAGGCTGAGATCAGAAGATGCATTGTATGCCCAGTAACAAAGCACTATTTCTAGAGACAGCTTGCAGGGACATGAGAATAGCTGTGTGCTACAGAATGTTCTTCAGACAGCTGTTTTTGCTGGGGAATTTTTACTCACAAAGTAGAGGGTCAGAACTTCTGCATACAGATTTTCCCTCTTCTGCTAACCAAATTCCCAGGTCAACGGCCAACTCCAGCAAGGAACAGAGATGAAAGGGGGGGGGGGGAAGAACACCCTCTACAAACTTTGCCTCAGGGGAGAGTGCTTTTCTTTGAGGGATTTCCACATTCTAAATCCCTCCAGTCATCTCCTGTTTTGCTTGGGGAACAGTAGCATAGACCTGGAATCCCAGCATTTAGGAGCTAGAAGCTAGAGGACAAGGAGACTTCAAGACTTGACCGGTAAAAAACAAAAAACAAAACAAAACAAAAAAAAACCCAAAATCAATAACCACATTATCCCTCTCTAGAAACATGCCCACTCTATTAAATATTAAAAAAAGAAAACAAGAAAAAGAAAAAAGAAAGAAAGGAAGAAAGAAAGAAAGAAGAAAATCCAAGCTTGTTTTTCTATTCTATATTACTTTTTTTTTTTTTTTTTGAGACAGGTCTTGCGGGCTGGCCTGTGACTTTCAGCAATCCTCCTGCCTCAGGTTCCTGAATGCTGGGATTACAGGCTTGTGGCACCATGCCTGGATGTGCCAGCATTGTGTGTAGTTGAACCTTTTTGCTAGAACCACCAACTCCCCAGTAATGACAGAGAGACATATTATTAATTATGAAAGCTCGGCCGGTAGCTTAGGCTTGTTACTAACTAGCTCTTACAACTTAAATTAACCCGTTTTTATCAATCTACTTTTTGTCTTGGGGCTTTATAACCTTTACTCTGTATGCCCATGCTGCTTCCTCTCCTGTCTGGCTGACAACTCCACCCTTCTTCTCTCCAGTGTCCTCTGAGCCTCAAAATCCTACCTAGCTAATGAACATTTAGCTTTTTATTCAGCCAACCAGAGAGACACTGTTAGTATTCAGGCACCTGTGCTGGCCTGGCCTTGGTGTTTGATAGGATGCACCCTCAGCTGCAGCCACTGTGTTCCCACCTCCCATCCTCCTCTCTTTCTTTCTCTCCCTGCCTCTCTGCCTGTCTCTTCTGCCACTCCTATTCCCAGAGGCCAGTACCCTCTCTCCCCCTCTTCCCTTTTCCCATTCAATTTCCACCAATTAAAAAAAAAAAAAAAAAAAACCCTCCACCCAAGCTCTGTCACACGGTGTCTTTCTCTCGAACAGTACTTTTTAAAAATTACAACAGACACATCTTCACAGCATACAAAAAGATTATTCCACATTTCCCCTTTTTTGTCTAATGGAGTATTTTATCCAAATATGCCAAATATAAATGGACTGGATATTTTTACTTTACATATTGATCCCAGTTCCCTCTCCCTTCCTCCCTCCCTCTCTCTCACCCTCCCATGACCCCAACCACCCTCCCATCCCATTCCCCCCACTCACATTCCACATGTACCATGATGCCTTCCAGGAGGGATCATCTAAATCTGTCAAGTCATTTGGAGTAGAGACTAGGCCCTCCCTCCTGCCTCTAGGCTAAGGGATTATCCCTCCATGGGGAATGTGCTCCCATAGTCCTTTTGTGTACCAGGGATACATCCTGGTTCCACTGTCAGAGGTCCCTTAGACTGCCCAGGCCTTCTTACTTAGACCCATGTTTAGGGGGTTTGAGTCGGTCCAATGCTGGATTCCCAGCTGTCAGTCTGAGGGCCCATTAGCTCCTCCATGTTCAGGTCAGCTGTCTCTGTGGGTTTCTGTAGCCTGGTCTTGTCCTCCCTCTCTGCATCTGGATTCCAGTTCAGCTCAGTGTTTAGCTGTGGGTATCTGGACTGGATATTTTAAATGCAATTCTTATTTTGTTTTGTTTTTCCAGACAGTGTTTCTCTGTGGCTTTGGAGGCTGTCCTGGAACTAGCTCTTGTAGACCAGGCTGGTCTTGAACTCACAGAGATCACCTGCCATTGCCTCCTGAGTGCTGGAATTAAAGGCGCATGCCACCACCACCTGGCTTAAATGTAATTCTTACCTGACAATTGTTCTTATTGTATGTAGTTTTACTATGTTAGAGTTAAAACCTTTCCTTTTTTTTTTTTTTTTTTTTTTTTTACATTGTGAAGATTTGTCACTTGGATTGGTTTAGTAAAAAAGGTGAACAGCCAATAGCTTGACAGACTTTTCAGGGCACAGAGGACACTGGGAAGAAGAAGAGCAGAGGTGTGGAGAGCCAGAGACAGTGCAGGGAAGCCGCACAGGCACACAGGCATACACAGTAAAGGTAATGAAGCCACAAAGCAGTAAGTAGGTTAATAAATTAGTTCATTTCAGTTATAAGAGCTAGTTAGAAACAAGCCTAAGCTATTGGTCAAGCTTTCATAATTAAAAATAAGACTGTGAATCTGGAGCTGGCAGGAGGGACAGAAAAATCCACCTACAATTTTGTAAATCTCAAGGTTTATTCCCTTATTCAACTCAACTTACTGCAGCACAGGCTCTGTGTAGGATGTTGAGGAATCATGCTGGATGATGTTACTTCTGCCTTTCAGATCCCTTCTACTGGATCAACCCTGGGGTTCTGGTTCTCATCGCTCTTCTGCCTGCACTCCTCCTGCAGATCTCTGTAGGCCTTGTGTTCCTGTTTCTGCAGCACAGACTGAGAGGTATGGGCAGGGGTTGGGTCTGTCAGGGCCTTTCCTGGTCCTTAAGGGACAGTCCATTGTTCAGGCTTCTGAGCTCAGAACTACATAACAAGTCTTACCGAACACTTTCAGATAGGACTGTGAATTTTCCTGTGAAGTAAGGATGACATGTAACAGCCTCATTGCTGAGAAAGAAATTGAGCCCAGGTGAATTGCTCAAATAGCAGGTTACAGATAGTGGAGCTTAGCCCTCACTACACCTTAGCAGCCTCATGAAATTGGAAGAGTAGTCTTTTCAAAGTCAGATAGGTCAAAAATACTGGGCATTTAAAAAGAAAATCTTCAAGGCTGGAGAGACTGTTCAGTGGTTTAGAGTAATTGCTCCTCTTCTAGAGAATTTACAACCATCTGTAACTCTGTCTCAATGGGATCTAACATTTCTGGCCTCCTCAGGCACCTGTACTCTTGTGTATATACCTACATGCAGACAAACATACCTACACACAGTTAAAAACAAAATAAAATTTAAAATTTTCAAACCTATTTTTGTTTGTGCGTGCTTGATTGTCTGGATGTGCACACATATGTACAGGTGCTGTAAGAGGCCAGAAGAAGAGGTCAGAGACCCTGGAATTAGAATTACATATGGTTGTAAGATGCTCTATATGGATACTAGGAACTGAACCCTGGGTCCTCTGCAAGAGCTACAAGCATTCTTAGCCCTTGAGTCATGTCTCCAGCCCTACTACTTTACATTTTAATAAGGGATTCAGAAATGAAAGTCTTTGCCATATAGAGTGCATTTAAAAATTGTTTCTCCTGTCTTTTCCATTCAACTGTGGATGCAAGTTCAGCTGTTGAAATTTTCTTTTGTGCCCAGAACCTCCAGACAGAGTCTTTCCAGTGCTACAGCATAAGGTCTTGTGTTCCCACCTCCTCTCCTAATAAGAGGGTAAGGCAACAAGGAGGGTTTAAGCCATAGAAAGGAGACAAGTATCAGATCAACAATGGTCTTACCTTGTACATAATAGAAAGTGCTCCACAGTGTACTACATCTCCAACCCCACAGTGAGGTCTTTTCTTTCACTTTAAAATCATCCCAATGTTTGGTTGCTTGCTCCTTATCAAAGAAAAGCCCTCTGCCATTATGGCTCAATAGAACATGAAGACAGGGCTAGGCAGCTTAGGATCCAATTCTATTGTAGACAGCAAACTATGAGGAAAATTCTTAGGTTCTCCAAGTCTCCAAGTAGGGTAGCATTTTCCCTCTTAAACTGTGGGAAGCTTACAATAGGATAATATGGAAAGTGCCTAGTGTAGATGCGCTAAATGTCACTAAATGTCTAGTTCTTCCTTCCAGTAGGGTATAGTGTTACGAGAACTTTCCTGCCAGCTAGGTCCCACAGCCGAGTCAGCCCTAAAATAACATACAGAGACTCTATTAGTTAGAAAGCTGTTGGCCAATGACTAGAACTTCTTATTGACTAGCTCTGTCTTAGCTATTAACTATATCAACCTAAGTGTTTCCACATTGTCTTACTGGGGAGAGAGAGTCCGGACCTCTTACTTCTCTCACGTCCTACATCTTGACTCCTCTTTACTACCTCTCCCAGAATCCTCCTTGTCTCCTAGTCCCACCTATCTTGCTTTCCTATTGGCCAACAGTGCTTTATTCATTAACCAATAAGAGAAACATATTTACACAATGACATCTCCCATCATCTCCTCTTTTCTGTCTAAAATAAAAAGAAGGGTTTTAACTTTAACATAGTAAAATTACATATGACAAAACAGTTTTCAAATAAGAACTATAGTTGACAATATTTAGTCCATTAACATTTACCCTATCTTTGTGAGTCTAAAGTCTTATATGTAACTTATCTTTAGTCCTAACTAAGGAAAACTGTAACCATAGCTATCTGTCTTCAACTCCATCAAAGACCACAGAAGGATAGTATATAAACAGACAACTCCCTGCCTGGTCAGTCACCCAAAGTTCTTCTGTAATGTTCCATCTTCAGCCTATAGGCCGTGGTGTGTCTGGCAGACTCCTCGGCAAAGCAGGAAACTTTAAATTGTCCACCTGTATTGGCAGTTTGTCATTCACTTTTCTCTGTGTCCTGCAGAATGTCTGACAGACGCTTCCATGAAGCAGGGACCCTGTAGCACTGTCCATCTTGTTTCAGCAGTCAACAGTTTTCTGCGGGTCCTGCATGTTTAGTTTATATAGCATAAAGTCAAACAGTCCAGACAAGAGTAATTTCTCATCCACATGAGAATTTTTTTTTTTTTTTGCCATATAGGGAATAAACTCCATAACGAGTTTCTTTGATGTCCATCTTCCTTTGTGACACAGATGGTGTTGCCAGGAGCAGTTATGTCTTACTGTCAAGAAAAACCCTAAACCATTTTAAATGCCATATCCATATTCTGTACATCTTTGAAAGGTTTGAAGAATGTCTATCCAATTGAAATATATGTCTATATATCTAGAAAACATAAACAACCTAACTATAAGCTTTGACTATCATAGGTAACTATTTACAATCTGTACTTAATTACACATTACATTTTTAAATGAGTTATATAAACACAATACCTAAAGAAGAGAAACTGATCTTAAATTTGTATCAATAAATGAAAATCCATTCCAAAACAAAATATTCATTCTATACCATAATCCCCTTTTTACCTTTAAAAAGAGATTGGTTGTGCTCATTAACCATTTATAACCAAGCCCATTTAAATGAAAACAAGCATTTATAGACAATGTTTGGGAACTTGAGTGTCGTTCTTTCCAAACTATTTCCTGCTAGTTGGGGACACTGTAATAGCATGGGACTCATAAGAAGACTCAGAAATCTTGGCTGTAGTCTGCAAGTCTGCCTTGTCCCAGCTGTTTTGAATGTTGGATCACCTGGGATGCTGTTTTAGGGGGTCTTGCTTGATCAAACCATGTTAGTCTGGAAGGAATCCATAGCTTTTCATTTTCTGTGGAAACAAAAATAGAAATTCTTTTCCTCAGTAACCTGTCCTTAGACTTAAATTTTGAAGTCAAAGCATTGTTAAAATATATACACTGGATTAATTTAGCAGCGTTACTAATCAAGTGCATTTTAGCAATTGTTATTCCTTCCTTAGCAATTGAGCAAGTCCAGAACAACACAATAGCATACAGTATCCTGACTCTGTGTATTTCCCATCTTTAGGTGGCTTTTTTATTATTCTATTTCTTTTATTCCTTTTTTTTTTCTTTTTTTCATTTTTTGAGACAGGGCTTTTCTGTGTAACTTTTGCCTGTCCTGGAATTCACTCTGTATACCAGGTTTGCTTTGAAATCACAGAGATTTGCTTGCCTCTGCCTCCTGAGGGCTGGGATTAAAGGCATACACCACCACTGCCCAATCTTTTTTTTTTTTTTAACCAAACATCCTTTTTATTTTCTCTCCCAAGTCTGTGTATATTTTTAACCTTTTAGGTTTTACTTCATCTGAATCTGTCTTTACTGTATATCTCTACCTTTTTTTCTAGCCACGAGTCTTGTATCTGATAAACAGCATTGCTAAAATTAAAGCAGCATCTGTTTGGGCGGCTGGCTTTTCAGTATGGTAGGGGTGCATTTACTGCCAGCACTGAGAGCTGTGCTCACTGCCTTGGTCTATGCTGTCATCAAGCAGCATGCTGCCAGCTTGGAGATGTGGTCACTGCCACTGCCAGCTGCTCGTATACAACATTCTTGTTTGGTAGTAGGGCCTCTTAAAAGAGCCCTGCATTTGTTTTGTTTTGTTTTATTTGTTTGTTTGTTTTGTTTTTGTTTTTGCCACTTTTGCCGAGTGAGGAAGACTCCCTTAAAGGAGCCACACAAGTCTGCTTGTCTTTAGCAAAACAGAGCCCACAAGAAAATGCTGCTACCAAGAAATCTTGCTTGTTGCTGTTGTTTTGTTTTCAAAATCTCTTTTTAAGCTTTTGTCAAGTTTTAAGTGGAATCCTTAGTGCCCACATTGCAGGCGCCATTTTGTCATGATCACTTTTCCACCAGCCTGGTCCCACAGCTGAGTCAGCCCCAAAATAACATACAAAGATTCTATTAGTTATAAAGCTGTTGTCCAATGGCTAGAGCTTCTTATTGGCTAGCTCTGTCTTAAATATTAACCCGTTTCTACCAATCTAAGTGTTTCCACGTGGTCTTATCTTACCAGAGATGATCTGGACCTCTTCTCTCATGTCCTATATCTTGACTCCTCTTTACTACCTCTCTCAGAATCCTCCTTGTCTCCTAGTCCCGCCTATCATCATGCCTTCCTATTTGACAACAGTGCTTTATTCATTAACCAAAAAGAGAAATGTATTTACAGAATGACATCTCCCATTAGTATGGCTTTATATTTTCAAAATAGTGATCTGCTCAGCCATGTGAACTGAGCAAGGAGTAATAGAAGTACTAAAGATTTGTGATACAAGGCTGGAAGGACAGTTCAAGGGCTAAGATCTGTACTGCTCATACAGAGGGCTCAAACTACCCATAATTTTAGGAGCTCTGACAACAATTTCTGGATTCCAGAAACACATGTATTCATCTGTACATACACACACACACACACACAGAGAGAGAGAGAGAGAGAGAGAGAGAGAGAGAGAGAGAGAGAGAGAGAGAGAGAGAGAGAGAGAGAGAGAGAGAGAGAAGAAAAAAACATGATGACATTTGATGGTTTGAGTATTGCTGTCTCCTGAGGAATAGTCCTGAAGACTTTTGCATTCTTGAATGCTGTTTTGGAGGTTCTAGCTAAGAAGTTCCACTATATAGATACCTTTGACCAAAGAACAGCAGGCCCTATCTTCTGCAAGAACATTCTCTCTAGCCAAACAATCAGTTTTGTGAGGGACACATACGGAGTTGTAAGAAAACAAAAGAAGAGAACACTCACCTGGCCAGCTGGATCACCATAATCTCATGGCAATCACTGGGATGATAGACAGCATAGCCAGGTTGCCCTCACACCGGGCTCTTGTTTTCTTTTTTTTCATTATTTTATTTAGACACCACAGAAAGAGCCTAAATCCTTGGTTTTAAATCTAGAGCTCTTCCCAATCTCCAAAGATGCTCCCAACCTATCGAGAAGTTGTCCACACAAAGTCCAAGTGCTGGGTGCAGAAGGGTCCTCATTCAGTAGCAGACCCAGAACTAAAATGTTGCCTTTTTCTATTTTAGGAAAACTTCGAGCAGAAGTCGGTGAGTTCCAGGCACACCCCCTCACCAATTCCTCCTATCTGATCTTTTAGCTTATTCAGAATGTCCCTTTCTTCAGACCATTTCTACCTCTCCCCCAATGATCTGTGCTCCCTTCAATTGGGAACATCAATATTTAAAACTATAAGCATCAGAAAATTGGGAATCTTGTTTCACCTGAGTCCAGCTAGTATAGACATTAAATCCTCTAGCTTGCTTTATTTTGTGTCAGGACTAGAGCCAGCTCTAAGTGGTTTAAATAGATCCAGAGTAAGAAGCCCCTTTCAGTGCCCAGCTGAATCCATTTTCATCTGTTCCTCTTTCAGAGAATCTCCATCGGACTTTTGGTAAGTGCAGACATATCCCTGCCCTCCCAAGTCACTGTGGGATTTCACTTGTGGCCTAGGGGACTAGGACCAGTAGCTCTTTGTAGGGTCCCTCCACCTTTTTTTCTTTGCATTTAAGATCTATAGGAATAGCAAAAACTTATTACCATATTCTAGTGTCAGGCACTGCACTAAATTTCACAAATGTAAACTCCTCCTTATATATATATTTTTCATCTTGTAAATTATAAAAGGAAGGTAAACAGATCCTTTGACTGTGAACTTGGTTGCTTAATGGGGAAAAATATATTGCCTGAAAAAAGATACAACTACTGTAGCTAAAGACATGGCTCAGTGTTTAAGAGCACTTGCTGCTCCTCTGGAGGACATATGTTCTATTTCCTGACTCACAGCAGACACCTATATACACAAGGTATACACCCTGGCTAAGCTGAAATTCACTATGTAGGTCAGGTTGTCCTTGAGCTCACAGAGACCTACTTGCCTCTGCCTCCCCAGAGCTGGGGTTAAAGGCATATGCTGCCACACCCAGAAAAAATACATTTTTGAAAGACACCCACAAAACTTATAAGGCTTTCATGAGTACAACCCAGGCACATGGTTTGTCAGAGAAAACTACTTTGAGGGAAAAGTAAAGCCACACTAATACCTTTTCGTTTTTGAGTGTCTCATGTGGTTCAGGCTGGCCTCAGACTCTATGTCATGAAGGATGACCTTGGGCTTCTGATCCTTCTGCCTTCACCTCCCAAATGCTGGTCAATGCATATGCAACCATGCATGCTAGGTCACCACCCTGGCTATTCTTAAGGTTTTCTTACAGTAATAATACAAACAGCAAGCTAGGGATGTGGTCCGGTAGAGCACTCATCTCACATGGAGAGGCCAGTAGGATCAATTCTCAAAAACACACAGTATTAGCACTGGCTGCATTTATGATTTCAAGATACATGGGAGGGAGGAAGGGGGGAATGGGAAATGGAGGGAGGGAGGAAGGGCGAAGAGAAAAGGAGGGAAGGAGAGAGGAAAGGACGGGGACCTGGGATTGATGTGTAAAATAAGAAAAAAAAGATAAAACTAAAAAAAAAAAAAAGAAAAACGTAATGCTAAAAAATAAAAAAAAATTTTTTTTAAAAATTAAAAAGATACAAAAATAGTTAAGAATTTAGGCATTCAAATCTTATAAGTAAAATCCCAGGGGCTTTTTAATCCTTCAAGAATCATCTTTTTGTTTCTTTACTTCAGACTGCACAGTCCCTAAGGACAACACCAACAACAGAAGAATACCCAAATGTTTGCTGAATAAATTCTATACAAACTAGAAGACAGCATTCGCAGAGCACAGAAAATCCTTGCTCTGAGCAATCTTCCTAAACAGCTTTTCTTTCTGAGGCCAAGAGCAACTCTGTTTAGTTCTCCTGGTACCTGGCACACACCCTAGCATATGACATTGGGCTAGTGTGTGACTGTCACATATGGAGTCTTTGAACAGTCAAAGAAAAATGTAATTATTTTTCATTGTATGTGTGTAGGGGTGAGTGGGTGAGTGGGCAGGTGTTCACACGGAGGTCAGAGGACAATTTTGGGGACTTGGTTCTTTCATTCCATCATGTTGGTTCTGGGGATCAAGTCTTCATGCTTAGCAGCAACTAAGCCATCCCTCTGACCCCATTCACTTATTTTGAGACAGACTCATATATTTCAGGCTAGCCTCAAACTTGCTATGTAGCCAAATGTTACATTGAATTTTGATACCCTGCCTCTACCTACTATGTTCTGGGAGATTATAGATGTGAGCCACCAAGCCTAGTGTATGCTGTGCTGGGGATGGAACTCATAAACTCTATGCATGATAGGCAAGTTACAAAATTGTAGCTCTACAAACTGAGCTACATTCCCAGCCCCTGGGATTTTACTTATAAGATTTGAATGTCTAAATTCTTAACCATTTTTGTATCTTGAAATCATAAATGCAGCCAGTGCTAATACTGTGTGTTTTTGAGAATTGATCCTATTGGACTCAACATGTGAGATGAGCGCTCTACTGGACCACATCCCCAGCCTGCTGTTTGTATTTTTACTGTAAGAAAACCTCAGGAATAGCCAGGGTGGTGACCTGTAATCCCTGGGAGGCTCAGGCAGGATTTCTCAAATTCAAGGACAGCCAGGGATACATGCAAGACACCATATCTCAAAAAAAAAAAAAAAGCAAACAAAAAAGGATAGAGGGAATGGGAGAGTGGGGGAGGATAGTGAGTGGCTGGACAATGTATAAAAATGGGTGCAACCCATTATTTTGTGTGCTAAATAAAATCAGTTAAAAAAGGAAAAAGCTAAATTCGATTAGAAGTTAGTGAAATAAAGGCACACTGCACCTCATCCAAATTTGTGGACTCTAGTTTGTCTTCAGAGTCCTTCGGTATTTGGGGGCTTCAGGTTAAAAAGAGTGGGTGTGGCATAGCAGAAAATACTCTGTTCTACCATTCAGATCCTCACTTCCTGAGGGTGCCCTGCTGGAAGATAGCACTGTTTGTTATTGTGCCTGTTCTTGGACCCCTGGTTGCCTTGATCATCTGCTACAACTGGCTGCATCGAAGACTAGCAGGTGCAGTGTCTGGGCAGCAAAGAGTACTACCAATGCAGCAGGGAACTCAGGCAGACCAGAATAGGAAAGGGTAGAACCAAGGCTCTACACCCCAGGGCTGGGATTGCCTTCCTCCCGAGTCCCCATGTTCACCATCAGAGTCCTCAGAAAAATGAGAGGATCTTAATGAGATGCATGGGTCTTTTAGTGAGGAGGGAGGGTTATCTAGGGAGGATATAAGTGGTGTTGTGGGGGAGGGATTTCCCACTGATCACCCACCCACTCATTTCTCTTTCTTTGCAGGACAGTTTCTTGAAGAGCTAAGTAAGTTCTCCCCAATACCCTTCTCCATTCTTGAGACCAGTCTCAGTCTGCACCTCTGGACTCACTGTGTAGACCAGGAATTGATGGCAATCCTCTTGCCTCTGTCTCTAAGTGCTAGGGTCATAGGCATGTACCACCATACCCAATGTTTTTTCTTTCTTCTAAACTGAACAAAAAAGTCAGCACAGGGAAGATGGTTACTGAGGGACCATAATCCCAGGAAGGACTGGAAGGACTCTTGTGAGGCAAGCTGGAGGGGAATAACAAGTTTTCAGTGCCAGAGAGGCTGCTGGGCCACTCTTACCTGCTGACTTAATATCTTTCAGTGCCCCTTGGCCAGAACCCCACTTCTGCATTCTCCTTTGACATTCTCCATAATAGTTATCCTGAACTTCACCTTCAATACCAACCAAGGGTGTGGGAAAGGCAGAGATAACTTGATCCCTGGGAACTGTCTATCTCCTGGACTTAATGCTTCACTGGCAGATTTTTGAACTTACTTGTCTTTCTTCTAGGAAACCCCTTTTGAGTGATGGTGCAACTTCCTGGCATGAAGGAGAGCCTGGCAGGCCAAGAGACAGGTTGTTGGGGATGTCTCACTGGCCTCTTTGCTGTAGGCACTTTCCAATCTACATCTACAAAAACACTCTGGACTCCAAACAGAATTTGATTTCCCTTAAACTATTTTCCTTTCTTTGGCTCCTTCCTTCTTCTAATTCTGCCTCCCACATTTTTTACTCCTATCCCAGTCTTCCTCCAGGAAGCACCCCATGGCTAAGCCAAGCCATCTATCAGAAGATACCTGTGTATCAGAGTAATACAGGAGCGATTCTGTCAAACAGCATATCCAACACCTCTACATGACAAACTACAGAGCGTCAACTGTACAAATAGTGGATGTTTCTTTCAAGACCACAGCCTTGACTAGGAAGAACAGCAATGTAGATAGTAGGGGGTCAGTGACAGCAGGGCCCACAATATTGAGGAAGCTACATGAGCCATAGTATGACTATGGAGCCTGAACCCAAACCTGAACGTGGGATCTAAAGGATGATCAGAGCACCATCCTGCTTGGGCAGCCTGCGGATGGGAGGACCTTGAGGAACAAGGGTTGAGAACTGGGTATCCTGTCTTTTCCCACCTATTTCCCTTTGCATCCTTTATATTCCTGCCTCTCATTTTCTCCCATCTTTATTCCCCTCAGAATACCCACTGTTTTATTCAACAATTACTACTTGATGGTCCATCAGACACAAACAAGCTAGGTGCTAATTAATAATACAAGTTTCTCTGTGTACACTTCTTTTCCTTTCCTTGTTGAGTCTTTCATCATCCACTCATCTCTCCTATTTGAACCTCCTGAAGCCAGAGGCCAGTCTTCAGAAAAATCAAGATGTAAAGACTGAAATGACCCCCTTTTTGTAGTTTTAAAAATTATATTTATTTTGTGTGGTGGGGAGATATGTGGGAGGTGGGACATGTGTGAGGTCAGGAATAGGTTCTTTCCTTCTGTCACAGGGGTCTCAGGGTTCAGACTCAGGAGGTCAGGCAGGGTGTCAATTTCCTTTGCCCACTAAGCCAGCCCCAAACAGGACTTTATGTTTCAGGAGTTCTCACTGCAATGAATGTTTCATTTTGTCTTCTGGGCTTTCATTTTTTCATCTTTTGTTCTCCTGAGGACTCCTTTACTTTTGAAACACTTCTCAGCTTCAAGGGATCAAGAAAGACAAGTGCACATGTCCCAGGATTCTCCAGCATTTAACGGGACTCCCTGACCCATTTTTATAGCACAAGTAATCCAGCAGACTTTCCTTCCCTCTAAAGCAGATGTCACAGGCAGGGCAACAGTAGATATTTTGCTCCATGTATGTGTTTGGATGATAGTCTATGACCATGGATGACTGGGAGAGATCTTCACTACTGAAATGTTGGGTGGGCTGATTTTGTAAGTGGGACTTGAGGTGGGTTAATAAACCAGTCTTGGTGGGGGAAATGCTTGAAACAATAGGAGCAAATGGTCTTTCCTATTGAGCCTTTCACTGGAATAGAGTTGGAACTGCCATTCAGGGATGAGGCTCTGCCATTACTTGCCTTAGTCCTGGCCACTGACTGGTCCCTGGATCACTTTCACACACTTTAAGATGGGAGCTTGGGATCCAGGTGATGTAAGTGGGACCTCAATACTATGCTCCTGGTTGCCAGCCACTGGCTTCTTGCTTTGGTGTACCTTCTTGTGGCTTTTCACCTCAGACTGATTCCAGAAGCATTTTCCACACTCTGAGCATGAACTTGGCCTACTATAACATAAATGAGTACGGCGGTGACAGCTCATACAGAACTACCACAGTAACTCTTACCACAGATCTTGCAAGTGAAAAACATCTCTCTAAAATCCTGGGGCTTGGAGGCCAGGGCTTTGTGGCTAGTAGTCTGCTGGGCCTTCACAGGAAACTGGTGATGAAAGATGTTGATGAATGTTTTGTAACAGTTGCCTCAGGTCAGGCAGAAATAGAATGATCTACTTCGGAACATTCCTGTGCAAGGAAGGGAGGTTTTCTTCTCATCATCAGTCTCTTCATCTTCCAGGTTGGAGCTAGGTTCTTGAAATTTCCTCTTGCTTCTTGTGGTAGAGGTGGGAAAATATACAGTTCAATATGGCAACATTACCAACACAAGGTTTTTTTACTCAGTACAAGTCACTTTTCCATTTTCCCAACCTTTAAAACTCAACCATTCACCCTTGGCTCTTATAGGCTAGAAACAGGAAAAAAACAGTAAATAAAAACAACAATAAAAGCTAGTAAAAATTTCATAGGAATCTTCTATGACCTCAAATATCTAAATGCTAGCTTACATCTTTGAAATCCATCTTCTCATTCTCAATATTGCTCATATTTCCACAGATGACAAGACCACATAGTAAATAGTAATCTCCCTTCATCTCTGATTTCACATGTGTTAACCACAGTCTAAAAATATTGAAGGGGTAATTCCCTAGTGTAGGACCATATTCACATAACTTTTAAATATATAACTATTCTAATTTCATTAGTATTTTAGTTTAATTTATTGCTGTGTCTAGCATAAAAAACAGGTCTCAGGGGCTGAAGATGTAGCTTAGTATTAAAGCATTTGCTCCCTAGTATACATAAAGCCCTGGGTTCAATCCGCAGCTCTGTAAAAACAAAACAACAACATGAAACACACACACATACTCACAAGTGGGCCCAGGGCTATGTGTGGTTGTAGCTTTGCAAACCACTGAAACAAAACCCCTTTAGAACAGAGAACTCACCCCAGTGTTGGGGAGGCAAACCATGCATGCTAGTGCTCTACCAGTGAGCTAGCCCAAGGGAAGACTATCCTATCATGTAAATTTGAAGTTAAAAGTGATGTTATTAATTATTAATAATTGAACTTGGAGAAGAAGCAACATAGCATGAGTGTCTCAGAGACCTGGAGTAAAAAGGGCCTTTGGGGTCCAGTCCCACTTCCTCTTTAGGGTTCAGTTCAGATGCTACAAGAAGTGAAAGGAATTTAGGGTACCAAGGGCTAATGAACTCTCCACACAGTGCTATTCCAAACAAGTCTCTTTGTTCTTATGCCTCTATTCTAATTCTCCTGTCTTAATTTTAATTCCTCCTAGCTTCTTTTCCTCTAGCCTAAAAACTATCTTCATACAGGAGGCTTGGAACAGTGAAAAAATTACAAGAGTTACCACTAATTGGTCAAAAGCACATTCCTAGGGTAAGTGATAAGTAGCTGAGCCTTTTACCATGGCAACACATGTCTCCAAGGTTATAGGAGTAAGACTGTGACCAGACAGGGTAGGACACAGTATCCAGTAACAAACTTTGAGATATAGGTCTATTGTCTGCAGACTTGAATTGGCATCCTTTCCTTAGGGTGCTTTGTATAGCAATCTTGATTAGATACCTGCAACTCTGACCTTGTGCACAGATGTAAAGCTTTAAACTTTGATCTATTTACAAAACAAAAAACAAACAAACAAAAAACTTTAGTCTAATCTAAACTTGCTCTAAGGTAAAAGTGAGCTAATTGTGTGTTGTTAGTCTGATCAAAAGGAACAAAGCTGGCTTTTAAGTGTCTATAGTCCTCATGGAACAAATAGATCTCATTATTAAGCATGTCCTAGTATGTTTCCTATATATTAAAATTATACTGCTAAATACAAAGTCATCTTTCTGACTATCTACAGATATTTGTGCCCAAGATTGAGATGCAATCATGAGATTACACACTACAATGAAGATATTGGGGAGACACCAGGCTGCTTTAGCAAAAGTGAGCAGCAGTTTCCAGAGTCAATGGTCCTGCAGGCCTTGCTGGACAGTATTAACCTCCATCAGAGTCACTCTGGTGGGTTGACATCTGAACACTAGTTGTCACCTGCAGTAATTCTCATGACCTCTGACCCTGGTGTAATCAACCTATATTAGCATTCTTCTCAATTCCTTACTCTTATCTCAGGAACAAGCTTATCCTTCTCCAGCTTAACATTGTTTCTCCACTTTCCATTGTTTCTTGGGAAAAACTTGTTAATCAAAAGGTAACAAGGACATAAGCAACCCACATGTAATCTCTCAATTCCTAGAAACTAGATTCCTTGTTTTGAAAATCTTGGCTATTCTTTATGAAGTCAGTGACTTTAAACATTCAATCTCAAGGTTTCTTCTAGTCCCAAGTCTAATTAGAATAGAAAGGTATAAAGATATTGAGATGGTATGCTGAGCCTGGATCCTCTAGTACAGCTCACCATTCTACCTTCCTCTCTCCTTTGCATTTTTTTCTATTTTAAAATTACACTTTTATTATTTTGTATGCATGTGTGCATGTATATACATTGCTACAACATGCTTACGGGGTAAGCAGACAACTTGTGGGATTGGTTCTTTCCTTCTACAAGTCACATTCCAATTGTGAGTGTTGGTAGCAGGCAATTTTAACCACTGAACCATTTTGCTGGCCCTTGGTTTTGTGAGGTGATAGGGCCTCAAATACACCATGAAGCTGAGGTGTCAGAATTACAGATTTAAGCTACCATATCTCTATGGTGATAGAGATAAAATTGTCTTGGGGTTGGGGAAGTAGCTCAGTAGATAAAGTGTTTGCCATGCAATCATGAGTTCTTGAGTTTGAGCCCCAAACTCACTGACCAGTCATCCTAGCTGCATCAGTGAGTTCCAGATTAGTGAGAACATAATGAAAATAAAAAGAACAGGGTGGATGGTATCCTGAGGAGTGAAGGCCCAGAGTTGGCCATGGCCTTCACAGATATGAACACACACAAAACATTCTTTGTCTTTCTACAGGATGTTTTTGTTTATTTTCAGGTTTATTGTGTGTGTGTGTGTGTGTTGAGTGTTTTGCCTATATGTATATGTTATGAGTAAGATTTTTCCTGCCAGTCTGAACCCACTACTGCAACAGCCCCAAATAACACACAGAGACTCTGTATTAGATATAAATGCTGTTGGCCAGTTGTTTCTTATTGGCTAGCTCTGTCTTAAATATTAACCCATTTCTATTAATCTAAGTACTTCCACATGGTCTTATCTTACCAGAGAGAGGGACTGGCGTTCTTCTCTCTCCATCCTCCATCTTGGATCTCCTCCCTACTACTTCCCTCTCTCCTCCTCTCTCCTCCTTGTCTCCT